AAAAAAAAAATGATTAACATAAGACCACACCTGATTTAGGAAGATAGTCACTTTCTCGGGGTCTCCATCGAAAGTGGGCTTAAGGGGAGGTGGGTTGGCTGGGCGGCGATCCCAAAGAACTTGCATTAAGCCAGGAAACTGTGGTTGAGGCTGCTGCAATCTCCCTCTTTGGAACACCCCTGGTGGAGGTCTCAGGCTGGCAGGACACCGACGGCGGTCAGGGCTGGCATGACATCAATAGGAGTCAGGTTCGACTTCCGGTGTGCAGGCGACCTCGTCGGACGCAGCCGACAGCTGCCTCCCGCCTGTTTTGCGTAAAAGCCGTTTTGACAGCAAGCATCAGCTGTCAAACGGCTTGATACCTTTCCCCCGGGCATAAGGGGATCGGTGAGCTGCCCGGGGTAGGAGTTGAGTTCCCGAGTCGTCCTATGTGGACGATGTAGGTTAGAACTCCTCCGGAGCCCCGAGGATTCTCCGCAATCCAGGACGCCTTCGCTTCTGCGAAGCCAGAAGCCGCCGCCACCGCTGCAACTTAAATTGAACTGTGAGTTATTATATGCAGACAAACCGACCCTGGAAGTTTGTTTCCTATTTTGGACTTTACTCTAACTTTGGATATTCTGATCTTCCCTATACCTGGGGGGATTGAGTGAAAGTGAATTTAAAATGGCGATGGAATGATACTTTTTAGCAAGAAGAAGTGAAAGTGATCTGGATTTCCGGTCTGGAACTTTTGCTATTTTTAATACTTTCATTACTCGTTTTGGATTAGTTGTTTAAAAGACTTTTACATAGATTGAAATTTCAAATTGTTAACATGGCTTTGAGAAGAGTGGCGCCCGCAACTTTAAAGTCAATTACATCTCCGACTTCTCAGTCGCCTCAACCAACTTCTAAGCCGGCTTCCCACCCGCCACCCCCGCCATCTTCTTCACCTCCACCGCCCTCGGGCAAAGAATTACAGGACTTAATGACTGAAAGTATTAAGCAAATGACAGAGATGTTACAAAAAATGGATGATAAAATGGAAAATAGGTTTGATCAAGTAATACAGCAACAACAAGAATTATTACAGAAACATGAGGGCTTTCGTATGAATGTGACAACTGCTTTTCAAGGTTTAGCTGAATATGTGGATGTGGTGGCAGAGAGGGTGGAGGAAAATGAACAGAGGGCTGAAGAGAGCGTGCAAAGACTGGAACTTGTAGAGGAAACTTTGGAAAATGTTAAGGGTGATGTCCTGGTTGCTCAATTTCGGGACATGGAGTATGCGATCCGGATCCGCGGGTTGGCTGAGGATCCAAAAGAGAATTTAAGAGAAATAATTCCAGAAGCATTTATGGATGCCCTGGCTTGTGGGCAGGAAATTCATGATGAAATAGAACGTGTCTTCAGGGTGAATTCCTGGGTGGCCCGTCAGAGAAATTTGCCAGGAGACGTGGTGGTCTATTTTACAAGAAAAGCGAGACGAAATGAAATAATGCAGCTTTTTTACCAACAAAGATTTAAGATTTTAAATCAAGACATTATTCTTTTAAAGGAAATCCCAGCGAAAATACTTAAAGCGCGTCGAGACTATGCTTTTTTGGTGCAGGAACTTAAGAACAGACAAATAATCTTCAGATGGGATGTACCGGTGGGCATAATTGTAACAGTGGCTGGTAAGCGCTACAGAATTAACTCGATTAAAAAAGCGAACGACTTTATGGCGTCTGTGTTGCAAGTAGAACGTCCACCCACAGCTCAAAAGACTGATGTAGCTGAGCATCTGATTGTGGACCTCCCTTCTACTTCCGGTGCCAAGGATACAAATGGGCGTTTGAAAGACGATGGAAAAGAACAAAGAATGACCCGTGCAGCTCACAGACGCAAGGAGAAAGAAAAACAACTGACAGCCCGCCCATCAGCTGATAGCTCGCCACCTGCTACTTCGGAGCCAGTAGGTGGCGCTCGACCTAAGGTCTTTGCCAAGTCTTATGCTTCAAGTATTGCCATAGGATTGAAATCAGCTAATGTTTAAAATTTCATCTTGGAATGTGGGGGGCCTTAACACACCCCACAAAAGACGTAAGGTTTTTCACTATTTAAGACATTTTAATAACGATATTACATGTTTACAAGAGACTCATATCGTGGCTAAAGATCAAAAATTATTGTTAAATTCTAAGCTTGGAGACTTGTTTACTGCACCTGCTCTTAAAAAAAAAGCAGGGGTTGCATTATATATAAAGAAACATCTTTCACCTATCTTACAAGAAACTGACAAAGAAGGGAGATTTTTATTGGTAGAAATAAATTTAAATGGAAGAAAGTGCTTAATAGTGGGGGTTTATGCCCCCAATCAACTGTCATCTCAAAAACAATTTTATAGACACCTACACCAGAAAATTGTGGCTATGGATTATAATTCTTTGATTGTTTTGGGAGACTGGAATGGGGTACTCGACACTTTAAAAGACAAAAAGACAACTTCTAGTGATGTGGCACTCTCCAGACTCCCTAAATCTTTTTTTGCAATGATGGAAGATCTGGAGTTGGTGGATGTTTGGAGATCACAACATATGAATGAACGTGATTTTACCTTTTTTTCTCATAGACATGAGTCTTTCTCAAGGATTGATTTTGTTTTGACATCGACTGACTTGCTTACTGATTGCAACAAAACCAAAATTTTTCCTAGAACCCTGACTGATCATAGTATGGTATGGATAGAGATTGGCCAACAAAAGAAAAGGAAATCTTGGAGAATGAATGAAAATTTGTTTAATCATGAGGACAAGGTTAAAGTCCTGAAGGAATATATGGAAGAGTTTTTTCAATTTAACTTGGATAAAGATACTCCTATACACACTGTTTGGGATGCCAGTAAAACCTATTTGAGGGGTTTGCTAATCTCTATGAATAATGCACATAAACGCAAACAGATACAGAGTAGATTAAACTTGGAAAAAGAAATTGGGATTAAAGAAAAATTATTATCTCAGCGACCAACAGATACTAACTTGAAGGCTTCTATTAAAATGCTTAAGGATCAATTCAATATGTTAATTGCTGATCAGGTGGCCACCAATCTGAAGTATATTAAACATAATACATTTGCTAATGCAAATAAACCAGGGAGATGGTTGGCTTACCAATTACGCAAGAGACAAAAAGCTAGAGTTATATCTAAAGTTTTGGTCAAGGGTCGTGAGGTATATCAACAAGAATTGATTAAAAAAGCATTTACAGAATTCTACTCACATCTATATTCTTCAGGGAGTATAAAAATTGAGGATATTGATAAATATTTACAATCTTCATTAATATATAAACTTACATCAGACCAACAGAAACTTATGAATGAAGAGATTACTGCAGATGAAATTTCAAATGCAATTAAACAACTGAAAGCTGGTAAAGCCCCTGGCACAGATGGCTTGACAGCAATTTATTACAAATCATTGTCAGCTGAATTGA